GGCTGTGGTAAGAATCTTTTTCAAATTGGGAGGTTGACGCCTGCTGTGTAGTATATCCTTTGGTTTAATGAGGTACCTTAATGTTTCTGATTGTTGAATAATAGGGAAAAATTGTTTGGCAGTTTTAAAGATGTTGTGATTTCTTGGGTTGTGGGTAAGAACAAAAGGGATCTTTTCGTTGCCTTCCTCTTCGTGATGTCTAATAGTTCGTAATTCGTTTATGGGTATTTCCTTTGCCTTTTGTATAGCAGCTTCAATTAATTTTGATGGATATTTTTGTCTGGAAAGAAATATTCTTAGTTCACACAGTCTTGTATTTCTGCGATCCTCATCTATAACAATAGTACAAATTCGCCTGGCCATATTGAATGGGATGTTTCGTTTGGTATGGGAGGGATGGCATGAGTTGAAAATCAAATATTGATGGGAATCAGTGCTCTTGTAATAGAGATCCGTTATGATTTTTGTTCCCTCTTTTATAATAAGAATTTCTAAAAATGGCAATTTGTTTTCGCTGATTTCCATTGTGAAATGCATACTTTCATGGAGCCGATTTAGAATGCTGTTAAACTGTTGTAGATCTTGTAGAGATTTCATCCAAAAAATAAAACAGTCATCTAAATAACGTTTCCAGTTTCTTTCAATGTATGTACCAAAATCGTCTCCAAAAAATGTTTTGCATTCTGAAAAAAGTTTTTCCTCCAGAAAACCTAGAACGAGAGTTGCGTAGGTAGGAGCGACTTTTGTCCCCATTGCTGTCCCTTTTATTTGTAGATAGTACTTGTCATCAAAAAAGAAATGATTATTTTGCAAAACTATTTTAAGTCCTTCGAGGATAAATTCTTTGGAAAATCTCGGCTGGATTACATCTGGATGCTTGTCAAACCAAAAGGAGATGGCTTCTAGTCCTAAGTTGTGGGGAATATTTGTATATAAACTAGTAACATCAAACTCACTAATTTCGTATTTTCTTCAACACTTTCTGGAATATGGTTGAGAAAATCCATGTATATATATATATATATATATATATATATATATATATATATATATATATATATATATATATATATATATATATATATATATATATATATATATATATATATATATATATACCTTATTCAGGATATTAATAAGGTATTTAGACATGGTTTTTAATTCTTAATTATCATATCCTATATCAAGCATTACTTACAACATGAAATATATTTAACTACAGTTTCACAAAGGATATCATGTCTCGGTTTATACGGTATTCTAACTTTAAGTGCGGCTTTCCGATCTCTTATAAAATCTCCCTCTTAATACCGGAACGTGAAATCATACTATCAATTGAAATATTTTATATAATTATGGGTGTATTCATTCAATAATAAACAAATGATGATCCACTCAGAGCACCCAAAAAGAAAACTTATTCCACGAATCAGAGATAGGAATGTTTTATATTCTATACTCATAATTATTTAGTGTTTGTTTATTTGTTGTTGTTACTTAAAAAATTCCAAGGAACTTTTGGACAATTTGAAATCACAAGATTTTTACCAAAATCAACAGCTTAAAAACTTACGAGTTTTCAACTTTCTTCACAACCACTAACCACGATGATATAAAACCATGCTTTTTGATATTTTTGACAGCTGCTTTAAAAAATGGAACTCGTAAATTTACTTACCTGATCATTGGTTATTTGCAAAATTACTTTGGTATAAACCATTCTGATTGTACACACAAGTACGCTGAAGTTGACATCAAAGAGATGCTTGAAATTCTGATTGACAATGTCATTGTTGTTTTTGGAGACTAGGTATTCCAACAATGTATTGGAGTTCCCATGGGTACCAATTGCCCCTGTGACCTATTTTTGTGTTCATATGAAGCAGAATTTGTCCAAAATTGCATGTGTTTAAAAAAGAAAACACTTGCTATGGCCGTCAGCTCGACATTTAGATATATCGACGACGTATTGTCAATTAACAATGGGAATTTCCATTTTTATGTCGATACGATATATCCTGGTGAGCTTGAGATAAAAGATTCCACGGAGTCTGACACATCCAGACCTTGGGTCTATTACTTTGAAATGTAATGCATTAAATTACAATTACTTTGGAATTCTTATCATTACAATTACCATTAACATTACTGTAATTCAGAAAAGTAATTAATTGAATTACAATTACTTTCTTAAAGTAATGAATTACATTACACATAACTTTTTATAAGAGAAAAACATAAAACGTATGACCACACAAGTTATATCTATAAATTTACTTTCACACTTTTTGCTCGGTTAATATTATTTCCCTCGGATCTATAAAACAGAGTATTATTTAAATTTTGAATCCATATATCATTGTTCGTGTAGTTTACCAATCCTATCTACAGTTGACAAAGAAAGTTGATCAGAACACTTTCGTGTAGCAGTTTTGTTCAATCTCTGATGCAAGTTTATCTGTTGTTGTTTTTAAAAATAAATTGATTTATTAAACATTTCCTACTATATGTTTTATGTAACTTAATATCTAATTAACAAATAAAGCTATAAATGTAAAACAAGTATTAAAAAATTAATTAATTAATTATCACTTTTAATTAGCTGAATATGCATAATCAATGAAGCTTAAATTAACCACAACCAAAGGTGATAATTACAAGTACCTATATATAGGATTTGAATTTTGAGGCCTTAAGCTACCAAAAAGGAATGATGGACAATATATCAATATTTTCAATTGTTTAAAAAATGTAATTGAAATGTAATTCAAAAGTAATTGGTCATTACTGACATTTTTTAAAGTAATGCATTCCATTACAATTACTTGTAATTGAAAGATGGATCCATTACACATTACACACCATTTCTTTGAAAAAATGTAATGATTACAACGCATTACCATTACATATTACCATTACCACAGGTCTGGGCACATCTTTTCCATATTTGGATATTTTACTTGAAAAGACGTTAATGGTAATCTAATAACCAAGCTCAATGATAAACGCAATGACTTTAACTTTCTATCGTCAACTTCCCTTACTTATGCAGCAATATATCATCATCATCTGCATAGGAAGTTTATATATCTCGCTTAATTTGATACGAAAGACCATGCTCTACGTAAACAAAATTCCTGAAACGAGATAAATTATTGACAAACAAGTTGATGAACAAGAATATAACTGGTCTCGTTTAATGTCATCATTTCGTAAGTTGTATGGTCTATACAACGGCCTTGTAATCAAATACAATTTTTCATTGAGTTAAAAGTTGACTGACGTTTTCCATACTAATTGTTAGTCTATTATTTATACACTGCATTGAAGACGGATTTTTCCATTATTTCCCGATCATGACAAGGAGTACACGGCTGGAAGCTCACTCTTCCACGGCATCTAATCCCATCTGATGTTTTGGAGGTCCCTATTTGCTCTGCTCCGATTAAGTATTCTTTTATGGGCTTCTTAGCTTGCATACTGATCGTTATCTCCATACCTTTCACTTAACTGTGTAAAAAATATGTACCGTGAAGGAGAAATTCAGTCTAACTGTTTAACAGTTTATTTTAGAAGGGGTGTAAAACAGAAATGGATTCTCAAAAACTCAAAGTATTTTCAGGAACTTTAAAATCACCAAATATTTCGAATTAACATTCTAACAGAACAAACCATGGAACTTTTATAATTTTAAACGAAATGAGCGAGGCACGGTTTATGAAATTCAATACTATAATTATACGTAATAAGATCCAGTTTTGATTGTGACTTAACAGCGGTTTTATCACCCACGAAGACATTGTAAGGTAATTAGCATGCATGTTCTATGTAATTGTAATTATGCATCTATTTTATGTTCTATTTTATTATTAATCAAAACTAAACCGTAATCACAAATATACGAAATTATCTCAAGCAATGACCAAGAAATTTTCTACTTTTTTCTTTTTTCAATGATATTTCAGAAAAAAAACGCAGCACATTGCTTTGTTTGTATCTTTATTTCGGCTCCAGAAAATACTGACAAAGTATTAAATAAACTATTGTCTTGACATAACAACCGAAATTGAAAACCCAATCGTATGTACGTTAACACTTGATGAGTAGTTTCAATTGTAAAGGAGTACTTGAGGCTACCTTTGAAATGAAGAGTACTTGGGTAAAAGTACAAATCTTAAATGTACGAAAACTTTCAAAATATTAAGGATTTCTTAATAACCTAGTCACGAAATGTTGAAAATCCAAGCATAATGAGCAATAGCACACGTAGGAAACGTCTTGTCCTACGTATACAAAATAGCGTATTCACAAACTTCCAATATATTTAAATATTTTGTTATTTACTTCATCTAGGTAAAACAAATACAGATATTTATCAGCACCAAGAAAAAAGGTCAAACATCACAATTAAAGGATCTATGGAGAATACTGAGTGAAATGCAAACTTGTGCATTTAAACCGACTTAAACCAAAGATATAAGCAAATATACTCTGAATATTTCATCTAGTCAGAAACCAGAATCCAAGCTACCGTAAGCTTTTTATCCGGGAAAATGCACAGGCTAAAATAGAAAAACACAACATTTTAAGCACAGTTCTATAATTTCTCATTATGATTTGAGAATTCTCCTTGCATTCTAACTAAGTTTATCTTTTGGTTGATTGAAACAAAAAAGGTTTCAAAACCCGTTCGTGTTTGTTTACAATTTCATAACCATAAAGAAATCCTTCGCAGACGCTAAACATAGAAAGAACATGAAATACCCTCTATGCATGTAAATTGCTTATAGATTAAGTAAAAGTTATGATCATAGCACTTTACATTTAAAAGTCGTTGTAGGCGAAATAATTGGACAGGGTGTTTAATTATACACTTGTACACTTGTATTCCTTAAGTAGTTTCAGAAAGTTAAGATTCTTGAAGTGTAAGCACTTAAGTAATAAAAGGAAACTTTGAACAATAAGAAGTCTTTCAGACATATTTAGGATTCCAACAGAAACAACCTTCGGTCTTAACAAAGAGTCGTTTTCAAGTATTTGAACACAATGTCACGTGTGTATCTGTTAAATTTGTATAAATACAATTTTGAAATAGAAACACTATTAAAACAGTGAAGCTCTGCTTAAAGGAGGTTACAAAAGAGATGGGGACTTTGAGTCTTATTTGTCTGCTTTTCTCTATATATCAGACATTTGGTCAGCTGAATTCAAAAGAAGATGCTTTACAAGCAACACGTGTATTGGATAGTACCACATCTGGTAAAGTATCAAAAGTATTTAGGGACATCTTGAATCAGGAAAGCTTAGTTCGGTTTTCAATGGTACAGAAAATGCAGAGTTTGATGTTGGATGTAGCAGATAGCAAAATTAATAATGAATATATGAAAAAGAAACTTAATGACGTAACAGAAGAGTTACACACTGTTCACGCGAAGAACCGTCGAATGGAGGAGGAGAACGCCAGACTTCACCAGGAACTGAAGACTTTGGTTGATCAAAATAACCATACAATGGAATCATTAGAATTACTTCTTCTCAAAAACCAAACTTCTCGTCTCCAGAAAGAAAATGAGGAGATAGCTTTTGATACTACAGAAATTAAAAAACAGATCGAAGAGTTTAATAAAACATTTGGATATTTAAATTTGACAAAGGAAGAAGTGAAAAAAGACTTTCAGAAGAATATTAAAGTTTTGAAGAAGGAGGTGAAAGAAAACAAAAACAGTAATGAGGCACAGCATTTAAGGCTAGGTGATGTAAAAACTCTCTTATCAGAACATATTAAAACCTTCAATGAATCTAGGACTGTTTTCCAACAACAATTAGAAATTATGAACAAACGGATGGAGAACTTAGAAAAACACGATAACTTAAGTACACGTATTCAGACTGTTGAAGACAATTTACAAAAGTTTTCACTTTCACTGAATGATATTCGTATCCAACTGCAGAAAATTGTAACAGCTGGTAAGTGATTCATGTATAATACTACAATATAATGTATAAATACTGGAAATATAATTTCTAGTGATTATTTTTTAATTGTCCATCTTAAAATGAAGAGAGTGCTGTTTGTGGCCTCCTGTGGAAAATAAAGTAATAAATTCATTAATTTAAGGGAAAGAAGGAAATTTTATGTTGTAAGTGTTATCGTCAAATTAAATATAATTGCCTGGAACACATGGCATGAGTAATTATTCAAACAAGCATCTTTTATTTTCTCATCCGAAAATTTGACAATTATAATTAAATTATTGATTCTTTGTGTTTTTACTAAGTATACTTAGTATCAAGATTATTTAGTAGCCATGTTCAAAAGCCCAAAGCTATGATGCCAATCAAATATCTGTGACATAGATACAGTTTTTAAGAAAACATCTTCATTTCTTAAATACTTACAGCTTAATTAAGGTGACGTATCTTTCTGCTTCAAATTTCATCATTTCATTGATGTTCAAATCCCATTACATTGATGTTCATTTTTCAAGATGAATATAAACTTTCTGCATCTGAAATTTTTTCACAGCAACAATTAATGTAATTAAACGTTATGAAAAAATATCTGAATTTCAATAGTTTGAATGAAGTAAAATTAAAATACAGAAGTAATTAAAAACAAGAGGCTCATGGGCCACATTTTACCTGAGCACTAAGATGAATATAAAATTTCTGACCAATCATGGATTTGCTATTTTTTAGAAATTTTTTTAAAGAATTTTCCTATATATATCTAAAAACTAATTATACGTTATGAGAACAAATTTGAATCTATACTTGAGCATGCTTCCATATTTCAAATTAGTTTGTCAATGAAGTAAAATTTTCCTATATATTTCAGTAAAATTTTGTAATTCAGCTATTCTTTTTTTTTATTTTTATTTTTTATTTATTTATTTATGTTTTTTTTTGCAGAGAGACAAACTTGAATACACTACCTGAGCATGCTTCCATATAAATATGATGAATTATGGCTTTGTCATTCAAAGTTTCTAAAAAAAATTCTATATATTTCTTAAAACTTTGTTCTAGACAAACTTGAATCATATAGTTAAATTTAAATTAATGGTTCTTGAGAAGGATTTTTAAAATATGCCACCAAATTTTCTAATTCACTCCCCTTGAATGAGGGCGTGGCCCTTCTATTTTACAAGGTACTTAAAAAGTGGCCAAGCGGTTCTTGAGAAGAAGTCAAAAAATAACAAGATGAGAGACAGAGATTTCCACAAAATGTGATCAGAACATTACAGCTCAGGTTTGTTGTTTATTTGTAACAAGCTTATCTGCATTTGACTGTATATAATTTTTTATTGTTTGATAAATCATTGGATTGCAATAATTTAATAATAATTTAGTCAATTTTATTTGTAAAATAAAATCCAAATTTTGCCAATTTGTAAACTTAAAAATTTGGACTTCAATTTTACAAAGATAATTTATAGAACAAATTCTTAGTTGGTTTTTGTATCCATCATCATTTTAAATGTTTTTTAAACATGTGTTCTTGGCCATATTAGGATAGAAATTTATTGCCCACGTATAGATGTAGAAGTATTGCTGTTTTCAAACCTCTCAGCAGCCTGTATTTTATTAACATATATATTTATTTGAATACTAACTGTTGTTTTGCTATATTATATAAGATGTAATAATTAAATTAAATTGCCGTTTTAGCAAATTTATTCATATTTTTTTCTTGCCTGATGAAAAGGGCTTTCTTCAGCGATTCTTTTCTTTTATTTTGATTTTTTATTTATTTTAGCAGAGAGACATGGGTAAATTTTGGCAAATTTCTATTTCTTAATTTGTTCGACTTGAATCATATTGTTAATTTTAAATTAATGATTGAATATTGATTGAATATTGCTAAAATTTAATTGCGTTTTATTTCTTTATTTCAAATTAGCGAGAACTAGCATTGATGGATTTAATTCTAAAGTGAATAAATGACAGATGTCATTTGAAAGAATAATTTTCTTTAAAAACAAATATCCAGATATATTCATTTGTTGGCCCAGTTCCTGCTGGAATGTAGAGTTTTATTTCCAAGTAGTTGTTTGCAATGTTATGATTCCAAAAAGCAGGAAAGGTAATGAAATGAGTTTCATATACCCTTTAATATTTATTTCTTATTATTTTTTATTATAGAAAACATCGCTTTTCATGCACTTTTATCGACGATACAGGAAAACCTTGGTTCAAGGGCTGCTGTTGTTTTTGGGAAAGTAACTCAAAACTCTGGAAATGCTTATAATGCTACTACCGGCAAATTCACAGCACCAGAAGATGGACTATACTCATTTCAATGGACGATTTTGACAAGGGGTGGACAATATTTTCACACTGAAATTGTTCTCAACGGTAACATTATTGGTTATAATCATGTGGACGGCACGTCAGGCAGTTCTCACTGGGCGTCCGGAACTTCATCAGCTGTTATAAAAATGAAGAAGAAAGATGAAGTCTGGATAAGAACACATGGTGACGCTGGAAAGTTTGCTTACCAAAGCTGGTCATCATTCACCGGCTTTAAATTGTAATAGAATGTTTGTCTAAAATAAATATGCAAAACTATGTGAATAATATATGTATTTTACATGTATAACTTAAATCATAAAAAGGTCGAAACTTGACTTGACAGTTGTACGGAAATAGTCCCTAAATATATATTTGTAAATGTGCAACCCTTTAAGAAATTAACCATATTATCACACAATGTATCGACGCATTCTGTGAAATTAATGCAAAAGTTACAAAACGATAATTATCGTGTTGTAAGGTTTGTATTTACCTCCACCCAGTTAATTCATAATTTCCAATATGATATCAGTATGGAACAAAATAATAAAGTAAAAAATTTAGATGACTTTATATGCATGTTATTCTGACTAAGGATGAATTAAAATTTCAAAGAATCGCTAAAATAGCCTTTCCATCATTTAAGGAGGAAAAAATAAAAACAGAACCGCTAGAATATTTTTCTCTTTATATTTCTATGCATCATAATAAATTACACCATAAACATATATACAAAATCAAATAATTGGTTACTAATAATATGTAAATTTAAATATTTATATTATCCCCCCTACTTAATGAATTAAACAGGTAGCAAAGAGGTTTGCAGACTGAATTGCATCTACATCGATATGCATATAAAAACTTTCTATCCTTAGATTGTAAAAAAATTAATGATATGAAATATAATGGCATGTTCAACTTTCCATAAATATTTTGGTTTTGAGCATATATTGCATTTTCCCTTCTAAGTGAAGGATATGTAGATAACAGACAGTATTCAAGTTCATTTCAATGGACGATTTTGACAAAGAGTGGACAATATTTTCACACTGAAATTGTTCTCAACGGTAACATTATTGGTTATAATCATGTGGGCGGCATGTCAGGCAGTTCTCACTGGGCGTCTGGAACTTCATCAGCCGTTATAAAAATGAAGAAGAAAGATGAAGTCTGGATAAGAACACATGGTACTGGAAAATATGCTTATGAAGACTTGTCATCATTTACCGGCTTTAAATTGTTACAGAATTATTGTCTATAATAAATATTGTCTTATATTTATATTTCAATGCATCATAATAAATTACACTTGAAACAAAAACAAGAGTTTGGTTACTAATAGTATATTAATTGAAATATTTTAATGATCCCTCTCCTCAGTTAATTAAACTGGTAGCAAAGGCGTTTGCAAAATGAATTTCTTCTACATATAAAGGTTGATAGAATTACTATTAGTCAACGCAAAAAAACAAAATTATAAATCTTGGAAGCTATATATAATTCTAATCAGACCTGAAAATTTAATCTCAACATGATCAATACATTTATTAATATCTTATTATATTTATGTCTGTTTGCTTACCAGTCATTGTGAAAATGAGAGCAACTCCTCAATAAAGATAAAATAGAACATAAATGACAATAAACAAATAGCAATACAAATAAAAACCTGATGCATAAAATAAACAGTATGCACCATCAAAAGCATGCAACTAGGCAAACAGTCCTACTAAAAAGACAAATTTTCATGAACATATTATGCATCTGCTAAATAAATTATGTACAACATGAAAATGTATAAATTTTGTTTAAGTAAAAAATACTTGGACTAGTAGATTGACGGGACTAGAAAAAACAATACATTACACAATGTAAAATATGTTATGAAGCGTTACATCGCCACCTTAACAAGATAAGCAAAATTGGCTAAGCAAATGGTAGCGCAAATATTGGCTAGCTTGTTAACGATCTAACCAGCACAATTTTAAAAAAAAGTGTCCCCTTCAAACAAATGCAGTGTGACATGCAACTATAACAACACACTGAAGATGCAGCCCCTGAATGCTTAGCAAGTGGGAAAAGAAAAGATGCTTCTTCGATTTAAAATATCTTGAATGTCACGTTTTCCAGGCAGATGCGTTGTTCTCCCCTCGGCCTCGTACAAACTTTAACGACCTAGAGGTTCTACCTGGCCGGTACAGGTGTGACATAAGTGGTGTAGGTAAAATGGAAAGACAGTGACCTCCCCGCGTGGTGGAACACCGCCTTTGAGGAGTATTATTTGTCGAGTGCATACAACAATGCATGTGACCAGATCAACCAGAAATATGGAGGTACGAAATGCTTCTGTTGTAATTATACATGCCCAACTTTAATCATGACTTTTAAACTTTGAAAAGATGATCTTATGTTTATTTGCAACTCACAAAAGGCAATTATTTTGAAGTCTTCAGATTCGCTAAGATCCCTTACTGTTCAATGGCTCTGAGTGCAAAGTAGAGGTCAAATGGTATATTTTCATTACAATATGAGTACAGTAAACAATCAGAGTAAAAAAGATGCATACAAATATTGTTTGATTGATTGATTGTATACTGTTAAACGTCAATCTGGAGAATTTTTCACTCATATGGAGACGTCACCGTATGCCGGTGAAGGGCTTCAAATTAAGACCTATACTCGGTACTCACGGACATTGAGCAGTGGGGGTTCTTTATCGTGCCAGCGCCTACCGTGACACGGGACCTACGTTTTTAAGGTCATATCCGAAAGACCCGCGAATTTCACTTCTGATGCCGAGCGCTTGGTGAAGGAACAGTCACTACCTATTTTTACGTCATAGGTTTGATGCGGCGCCGGGAGCGAGAATCGAATCCGGCCTCCCGATCACGAAGCGAACGCTCTACCACTAGGCTACCGTAAACGGTCGTATACAAATACATGTATCATTTAAACAATCATCTGAATTTTCAACGAGAGAGAAAGAGAAAGAGAGAGATTTAAAATGTTGGGTTATGACTTATTTTTCTTTTCAGGATTTCCTGTAAGAAACTGCTTACCAGGACCACCTTCAGAAAAACAGCGTGTAGGAAGCACCAGGAGTGGCCAAAATAGAAAAAAGAAAGAACCATCTCGTAGTATATTTCCGTCATTACAATAAGTAGAGCTAAAAAAAAGTAAAACAAAATAAAAACTAGATACTCATGTTATTAAAAATAATTAACGTCTTTGCATATAAGTAGAAATAGTGGGCATAATTTGCAAATAGTATTAGAGAAAAATGGACATTCATGATCAGCAATGTCTCAATGAACACCTAATAAAAATTTATTTATAAGACGCATTTAAGACCCACTTTGCTTTACAACTTAAAACAATTCCTGTGTGTGTTATTTTATAAGAATTTTGTAATATATTTGAAATGGCATGTTTTGGTAGCCTTGGCTTTTAAAACACTTAAAAAGTAGCTAAATTTTATCTGATCCCGGAAAAAAGAACAAATTCTGTTGTTATTGATACCATAGCGTGCATTATTTATTGTGTTATTATTCTTTTTTAGGGGATCATACTTCTTGTAATTCTTGTTCTCTCGCAAAGAAAAAAACTTTATGTTCCTCTGTTATTATGCAAGGCGAAGCCAAGTCAACTGAGCTAGTTTTTTGATGTATTAAAATTAAAATAACAACAGTAGTGAAAGTGAAAAAATGTCATTTATTGAAGGAAATGACGCAAAACAAAATATAAACATATTATATGGGGGTCAGACGAGACTTGAAAAAACTTCGAAAGAATACAAAAATCTTTGCTATCATATTATGTTTTGTGTGTTTCAGTTGTAACTTCGACGTCCGTTTTATCAAACATCAATGTTGCTTCTTATTATTTCAAACAATGAATCTCCCTTTTTAAACATTTAACATATGATATTTGTATAAAGAAAATGTTTGAACAATGTGAAGACATTTCAATAAAAAATCAAATTCAATTTGTTGTCATTCCAGGCATTGTCATTATGACAATAAAAATAGAAAAAAAATTACAGGATTAATTTTTGTTATTATTCATCAGTTAAAAAAATTATTATGAAAATACGTTCAAGTCTGAGAAAACATAATACTTGTACGTTAATAATAAATGGAAAAGAATATCCACTAATTTTGGAAAATTTAATAGGAAAATTAAATGAAGCTTTAAATATTAACCATAAAGTCATATCTGAAAAATAATCTACTGACGCCTAGTGGTAGGACCCCAGCTTCGTGATTGATCGGGATGCCCGATTTCGATTTCTTTCGCAGTTTCGCTTTAAGTTAGAAGAAATCGTAGTAAGTGACTGTTCCTTTACAAAGCACACGACTCTAGAAGTGAAAGTGTAACGCGTTTCTCGGTAGAAACCTTGAAAAATACCAAGATCCGCATTGGGTGTTTTCACGATAAAGTACCCTCTAACTATTATCTGTGATTCCAGTTTCCAGTGTTCGCGCTTCATACCTTCTCCACAGATTTGAAAATATATTTTAAACCTTCAATCTAATATTATACGTTTTTTTGGACCCAAGAACCAAACTGAACAGCCTCAGGCAGACAGTTTGGTTCGAGGGTCAACAAAACGCATTTTTCCCGAGACCTCAGTCAATAAGTGTTTTGTTATACCTTTCATTTTAATATTTTGACATGCATGTAGTTGTACTTATTTGTAATGTAAACTTGAGTCTGTCACTGTTAAACACCAACGAATGAAAATGAGATTAAGCTTCTTTCGCCAATTCTATGACGTAAGTGGTCCAACATCTCACCGACATATTTTTATGTTCGCTCAGCAAAACATTAGAAACGTTTGATTTTTTTCTCGCATAGATTTGTTTAGGAACAAATTTTTAAGGGTATAACAATATCATTTTGCTTTCACTTACAGAACACTTTAGGAAGAATTTGCAAGTGCAAACTTTTGAACAATTTCATCCTTTCCTTTTCTACATTTTGCGAATTTCACATGTATGCATATGTTTTTATCAATAAGATTAAAAGCATGAATGTAATCTAAACACTGGTTGAATCAAGAAACTTTAATATCAAACTGAAATATTCACTGATAAAAAGTGCCCTTAAAACACACTGTCACAAAGGACATGAGGATAGTCAAAGGTTTTGGCAAAGGCTCAAGCATATATAGAATATAAAAAACAATATAATGAAGTATATTTTCATTGTGAATTTAAAGTGGTTCTTACCTTAAAAAAAGCAAGATATTGAGATACCGAATCAATAAAGCTCATTAATCTTTGGATTCTTACTTTGTACATACATGAGATGAGTAAAAGGGAATGCAGTGATCATTGCTACAATACATTTTTGAAAGTTTTCAAATGTAATTTA